CCCTATAGCATATGATTATTAGCTTATGTTTTGACCGATTTCGTAGGCTTCTTCATGTTTCCTTCAGTTATTCACACTTTACACACACACACACACACACACGCACACAGACATACATATTAGTTACAAGGACGGTGATTATTTAAAAAAGTAAATCAGTAAACCGAAAGATTATTTGATTATTGTATCAGCCTATCACAACTATCTTTATCATCATACTAGTCGTCGTCAAGTCACTCCGCTTTTATTTGCACTAATGGATTCAGAAGAGAAGAAATATCATTATTCTAGTGACCACGCCTCATAAGCACTATGACCTTTAAAAAGCAAAGATTTTGTTTTAAAAATTATTTATCCATAATTTTTTTTGTACAGTCCTATTGTGTTTATTTGTTTTTGTTTTGGAATATAATACACGCGATGCGGTCCTAGGTGGTGAACTAACATGAACTCATCTATCGATTAACTCCCCTAAATATTATCTCAGGCCTGTGTCTTCACACACACACACACACACACACACACACACACACACACACACACACACATACTTGTACGCACATCCAAGTAGGCATGATAGTTACTCATTCAAACAGCCATGCATCCTTGAGAGTGTTTACCCGCATTCGATTCATTTTATTTCCTACTTATTGTCGATTATAATGCAGTCTGTTTAGGTAGGTAGTGTTTAAATAGTTTTGTATAAAAATTTTATTTTAAAAACATATAGTCATCCACCTGATTTCCTAACTAATAATGACCTTGATAGTGAGTTGGCTCTGGATGGTTAATTTAGCGAGCCCTTATTCTTTTTGTGATATACTGTATTGCTTTTATTAGTCAAATAACAATAATAGTAATAATAATTCTCTCAAATATAGTTTAGCTAATTATAAGGATGAAAAAAGCAGTACTCAGAGTGTTCAGCTTCATAAAACACGGTGAATAGAGGAATGGGAAGGTTGGTGATTTAATGTACATTGGTGGTAGGCATCCGGGATAAGGTCAGTTATGAGCTTATTGGAAGTTTGTTACTTCTGTTTTGCCTGAGGACTAAATTACAATTAGTATATGCTTAACTTAATAGGATTCATTATGCTGTTGTCAGCACTGTTCATTCAACTTATTTCAGATATTCAGATATTTATTCAAATGAATTGTTTGGGTCTATTTGTGTGCGGACCAAGTTGTAACGCTACGCTACGCATCATCATAGGACAGAGCATAGAATGGCAGTCAACTCAACCTCAACTTCATTTATCTTGAAAAGGCATTCTATCGAGGCATCGACTGAGAAGTGATTTGGCAGGCAGCTGCCTACTTCAGCACTGCGGTTTCAGTGCCGCAAACCTTTATCAACCTCATTGAACAGCAACCATATGCTATATGATGATGGTGATGCTATATGCCAAGAGATTCACAATGGAAAGTTGAGTGACGCCTTTGAAGTGGAAGTGAAGACAGGAGTATTACGGAGTTGCCGCCTACACTATCACCGATGATCTTCGTGATTGTGGTCGACTGGACTTGACTGGATTATGCGAGAAATTGTGAGGAGCTGTGAGAAGAGGGGGATATGCTGTTTGACTGATGAAAAGACAAAGACACTAGGAGGTTTGGATTTCGCCGCCACCGACGCTGCCGCTTATGATGATGATGATTTACGTCTAATGTGTTGTAGCACAAACTCGAAGATCTACAGGCAAGTAGTGACATGTTGAGAGAAGAGGCAGGGCAGGGCAGGGCAGCGAAGATGGGACTGACATCAGGTAAATGTGGAGGAGACAGAGGTAATGAAGATACCCAACCAACAAAAACACCAACAACAAGCATCAATCACTATGAAGGGGAGAAATCTAAAGGAGTTTGGCTCTCTCATCTACCTGCATAGGCAGCATCGTTACAACTACAGACGTCACAGGCACAGATGAGGATGTCACAGCAGCCAGGATCGGAGAGACAGCAAGACAAGCCTTCCCACATTAATCTGAAACGATCAATGTGGAGATCCACTGCACTGCAATCCACTCCACTCAACATAATGACTGAGCAAGATCCACATTTTCAACACCAATATCACTCAAGTCAGTCAGTCAGTCAGTCAGTCAGTCAGTCAGTCAATGCTTCTAGGTAATGGTTGAGAGATTTGGCGCGTCACGAAGAGCATTTCCAACAAACTACAGACATCCATCATCAACAACTACCACCTACACTCACTCGATACTGACAGTGAGGATCAGATAGATGGATGGCCAGAGCAATGAGAATCAGCACGAAGGAAGTCAGTGTGGCCTGGCAATGAACCAACGAACCAAGGAGGCAAGAAGCCATCGTCCAACAAATATGCAGAAGAGGAAAGTGGAGATGGATTGGATTGGGCATAGACTGAGAAGACGATTTGGTGATATGCCATGACATGACATGACATGATGCGTCAGTTGAGGCCGTCGAGTGGGACGGAAAGGGGCAAGGACGAGTTGGGTGTTTGAGGTGAGGGTGACATGGATGAGATGGTTTGATGAGGAAATGAAAGTTTGTGTGCAGTGGTGGAGCGAGGTTGAAAAGACTGTGTAGAAGATAGTGTGATGTCGACGGGAGGGCTACTGAAGCCCTATGTTTCACTAGGAATCCATAGGACAAATAATAATAATAATAATAATAATAATAATAATAATAATAATAATAATAATGATCTATATGTAGCATCCTTTTTAGTCTAGCACTAAGCTTATCTAAGATTTGCTGAACTCTCGTCAACTAAATAACTAGAAAGTTTACACGTTTACGTCATATCATTAGCTTTGGTGTTCACGATTGCTTTATTGCCGTGAATTCTATGTCCAGAGACACTTATCAAGCAGTTTCTGTGATCCGAAGAAATATACACGTTTGCAAAAAGACTCAAATGCACATATTCCAACTCAATTCGTAAGGTGGAACTGATCACGTTAAAGTATCTGACTTATGATTATCCCCCTCACCTGTTAGATCGTGTGCAGTGCAATAATTATTTACTTATTCTATCCATTTCTCATCATTCGATTTTATACTATAAATATAAAAGTTGAAGTATTGACGCAGTCATCTTGCAAAATATTGTATAAACAATTCTATCTATGATTGTATCCTGTCTACTTCTGAATGGTAGACTTAAACCAAACACAGTTGAAACATTTTGCATTTCCACTTTCTCCATACTATTCACCAATAACCAATTGTATCTTGCTATTGTTCCACAGTATCTGAAACAACCTTCAGTTATCCTATTATTTCTATTGATTGCAGTTTATTGTGCTAAAACAGTTCATTGGAATCGATTTGTAGTCATGTACACATCAAATTGGTCAATTATTACTTTAATGTATTTTTGAAATGAAAGAGGATTTTAGTTTTGAGATAGTATTCATCACAAAGTGATATCAACTGGGTGACCATTGAAAGCCTAATAGCAATGAAGAGTTGTTTCATCAAAAGCAGTACCCAACAACGACACAGCTAAGGACAGAACTCATAACCTTCAGGTTTCACGGAGAACGCGTTAACCACTCAGCCACAGTTTCCAACTTCTATCAATTCAATGGTTTCCTAACTTATATCACTCCCGTGATGAATAATATCTCAAAATTATTATTATCATTTTATAGACTTCAAGATCGAAATCCGACCTGATAGAGTTGAACATTTTTATCATTGGATTCCTGGATTATAAAAGAAATATATTTGTAGAATTCCAAGAAGAATCTAAAGTAAAGACTTCCATAAGGTCACAAAACGTCCAAAATTTATTCTTTTATTTCATTGGGATTTTACAAATATATTTCCTTGTTATTACTTTCATTTTCTGAGTCATATGCCAAGTTAATTTGACCAGAAACGAAACGTATTCGACTGATAACAATGTATCACTTGTAGCTAACAGACTTTAAAGGAAAGTTACCGAGAGTATATGAGTTATCAAAACCACTTTTCTAGCCAACTAAAAGTCTACAGGCAATGAAAGTTACCTTAATATTGATAGTTCGATTTCAAACAATATATTTGATGCAATAGGGAATTCTCAGGATATAAAAATTTAACGGATTCACTTTTAAAATAATATTTCCGAACGAAATGGTGATTAAATTTTGAGGGTTTGTGGGGATTTAGAAATATTTCAAGTTGGTATTCATCGTAGACTGACATCAGTTGGAGGAACAATGGAGACCTGGAAGCACCGAACAGCTGTTTCATCCTAGTCCGAGACTCTTCAGCAGTGCGCACCTACGGCCTTCAGGTTCCGTGGCCACCACGTTACCATTGAGCCATTGAGTCGAAATCCAGTGGTCTATATTTCCAACTTTTGTCAGTTCACGACATAACACGACTGCGACCCAATATCACCGTTGAGTATTTGTCCTCATGGCCATCAGGTTTGCCCCACTGGTCACGACTTCTGACTGGAACTTCGAGAATCACCTCTCTCGATGATTGCGTCTGAATGATGTTTATAATAACAGAATTAAAGGCAATAATATGAAACCACCAGTTTCTGTTGCATTACTGTTCAGTGCTTAGTCGTGGTAGTTCATTCAGCCAGTAGGAGAATGAACTGTTCGAGATAAGTATTAGAGGAATACATTGAATATTTCCATTTAGACATTTAGAAAAAAGACTTATTGAGTGAAGAAATATATTCCTTTTCAATTAGGTCTTCATCTTGGGCTCTACACTAAGATACAGTTTTACAATTTAATCAAATTATCAATCACTTGGTGATATCTTTGATAAGTGGAGTGACTTTTGATGAGTGTTCAGTCATTCACAATAACCGACTACGTAATAATGAGACATCAAATGAATATTGATAGAAACAAGAAGGGGAAAATCTGTGAAAAGTAAACCTAGAAGTTACAACATGTTGACGGCCACGGTAATGAAAGTGGTTGAATAAACTTTTTCACAATTCACAATTTAAGGATGAATGCTTTCCTTTTTTTCTTTCTACTTTGTGAATGTTTCAGACTCACAACCATCTTCTCCAGGAGATTCCGATGCTCTTTCCCCAATTGCTTCAGGTTGTTACAATCCTCGTTATCATCATCCTCATCAGATGTCAACATCGAATTTCCCCTATCATCCTGGATCAACAGATATGGTAATTTTGTTTTTTCCGTTAGTTTAAAACTAATTTCAATGCAGTCTAGAGAAATCTACATTCTATTTTCATAGATTAACAATAATAACAATGCATAAATTCACACTTGGTTTTCCAAATGAAACAAATTTATATGAGAGGACATTTCATGTCAATCACGATGATGAATGTGTGTGTGTGTATATGCAGTTGTGTATAAAGTTGGAAATAGTTAACTGTATATGTATGTGTTGCTGTGTAAACGTTTACTTGACCAAAATTTCAAGCTGATGTTAACCTGAAGTCAATTTAACATTGATTTTTATTTGTCCACACAAATCAAGTTTCAATTTAGACACATAACTATGAAATATAGTAGTGGCAGTTCATATTTATATATACTGTTGATTGGGATTTCTTTTCGACTACTACTGTAGAATCCATGGTGGGATAAAGATTCAGTCATCGAGAGCATTTACAAGTATTCATTACCATATTTAAATCTTCCACGACTTTCAACCAAGTGTCAGTAATAACTTTTTATTTTCTCTCTGAAGTTGATTGGTAAACACTATGACAGACAATTTGCACTTTTAAGGATATTGAAGGAAAAAAACCTAACAATATGAATCATTAAGGATGGGTCGTGGCTAGCAGTGGAATCCAGGATGCACATTCTGCCCTACTTGGGACTTGTGGTGTAGTGGATAACGCGCTGGCGTTTGAAGCGATCGCTCCCGAGTCCGAATCCCAGTGGGAACAACATCACTCACTGGGAAGCAGGTACATCCAACTGACGGCTCCCAAATAGGAAGAAATGTGCATCCTAGATCCCACTGCTAGCCACAATCCATCGTTAACATAATTAGAACACAGGCAATATCGAGGCATCGGCACAGGAGCCCATATGCTAATAGAGACCGATCAATTCGGTCCAGTCAACGATGGTATCATATAAAAAACAATTATACTTAAATATATATATATTCATTTGCATGTGAGTGAATGAATGTGTTTAACTTCAGTTCATTTAATGTATTTTTGAGATGAATGGGGATTTTTAATTTTGAAGTAGTATTCATCATGAACTGACATCAGTTGGGGAACCATTAAAAATCTGAGTCCCGTACTGGGACGAAACAGCTGTCCAGTGCTCCCGAATTTTCAATGGATTTTCAAAAGTACATTACTCTATAGTGCTCATTAGTGACTTGCTTCCAGATGGATGTTAGGAAGTTCTAATGAGAAGCCGTGACCTGTGGGGTCAACCAGTTGGAAGTGAAGTGGATGCTAACTGAAGACCTTGGGTGACAGTCACGCTATGTCATGAATTGACAGAAGTTGGAAATTGTGAACCACTGAAAACCAACCCAGTGGCTGAATGGTTAACGCGTTTGCCGTGAAACCTGAAGGTCCAGGGTTCGACCCCCAACCGGGTCGTGGGTGTGTACTGCTGAGGAGTCTCATACTAGGACGAAATAGCTGTCCAGTGCTCCCAGATTTCCAGTGGTTCCTCAAGTGACGTCAGTCCATGATGAATACTACTTCAGTTCATTTGCTAGCTGGGTCAGACAACTTGGTTCCATTTTATGTCATGCATACATATGAAACTGATTCATATTTTTCAAAAGAATACAAACATTTCTATTCTATAGACACATCTGATGGCTATAAGTGAAGCATCAACATTTATCCCTTTACTTCTTTTTCAAAAGAATGTCTACACATATATGCATACACAGTAGGTGGGCAGTAAGATTTTACTTCTTAATCCTTTTATTCGCATTGTTTTTTTCTCTCACTATGGTTGAATAGATAATTTATGTAAACAATTATTGACTTTTAAAATTGAAAATGCAAATTTTTGCTTATGGATGCACCATCATTTACTCTTAGAAGTATACAGATATATGCGAGGTCCTACCGTATGAGAAGTCTATCAAGTATATTGTAAAGTTTAAAATCCAGAATCCTATTGTTTTCATCTTTGATACTGGTATCACTGACTGAAAGGATACAGACTTTTAAATACTGACTTAGAATAAACAGTTTATGACAGAGAAGTTAACGGTTTAAAATCTCTCACAATGAACATACTACAGTGTGTAGGCTGATTTAGGCATCTTCCTTCCATCTTTTTGGCATATTTTCTAGGTGATATGATTAACTGTGAGAAAATTAAATGCTGTCTGTACCATACACACAGAGCATGTACATCTTAATGATGTCAAGCATAAATCACTATTTTGACATTATAACAAAGTAAAGATGGATATGAATTGAAGGCTACCATTGCATAGTTGTGGAACTCACTGTCAAAGCTGAATTAATCATACTTCGTACACTGATAAGTGCAGAAGGGCTACCATTATGTTTGAATCTTTTTGCTTTACTTATCAAGTGCTACTGGTCTGTATTAACAGTTTTCACTAATTCATATGAGTTTACAGCTAACTTCTTGCTATTCCTTTAACCCACTCTTTGGATCACACTTCAATACATCTTAGTTGGTAAAGTGAGTTGTAGTGATATTTCCCCAGCTGAAGGCTTAACTGGCACTGTATACCACAAACCGCATAGGAACTGATGCTGATTTGAATATAATATCCCCACCACCCCCTTAGAAATACTTTTGTAGGATTAAATACACTAATGTTTAGAAGTAGTATTCATCGTGGACTGATATCACTTGGGGAACCATTGAAAATCTGGGAGCACTGGACAGCTGTTTCGTCCCAGTACGGGACTCCTCAGCAGTCCATGATGAATACTACTTTTAAATTAAAAATCCCTGTTCATCTCAAAAACTAATATTTATCTATCAACATAGATAAAGAATTGCATAAATGCGAAAATCCCCATCTGGACATTCAGAAAACAAACAATGTGAGGGATGAAATATTTCTTTTCAAGTAGTTCTAGAGAAGAAAAGAGTTACAGAAAGAATATAGTCACTTTGATAAGTGAATATCCTTCATGAAGTTTTCGATGGTCAAATAGGATTCACTTCCCTGAGTTGATAACGGTAAATCTGTTTTGAAAACAGTAAAAAAAGTCAACTACATCATATTTGAGGCTGAAAGCACATTATGCCTTACCTGAAAACATACTTCATAGTCTGCTTGGCGGTTAACAGCGAAGAACCCGGGATGCGCATTTCATCTTATTTGAGACTCGTCAGCTAGATGTACCTTCATCTCAGTGGGCGGCATGTTTTCCACTCGGACTTGAAAACGATATCCATCGCGTCAAACTCCAAAGCGTTATTTACTAGGCCTAAGATTCACATTTTGTGCAATGGATAACAGTTGTTGTTTGATACTTGTAATTTGCCGTTGCTATACTGAGTCAAATTGATCGGTCTCTGCTGGCAGATGGGCTGCTATGCGGATGCCTTGATACTGTCTGACTACTCATTATATTGTAAGCTAAGTGATGTCTAGCAGTGGAACCAAGGGTTGAGCAATTTGTACCAGTATAGAAACGGGAAATTACAAGCATCAAACTAAATTTCAAAGCCTATTGAATTAAGTTACTGTTTTTATGAGTAAGAATTTACGCCTCTTGGCATTCTTCCTACTACTTACTGGCTTTTTTAATATTTATTTAACCGACTAGATTCCCCCCGGATATCGACGTCATTTATCCGGTCGACTGGATGACGATTCTTTATGCAGTTCATCTGATGTTGAAAATCCTCGATCAAGTTGTTTACATTCCAATTCACTGCATAATCATAACCGTTATGATTTGCATGGATCATGTTATACACCAAATTTTCATATGGTTGATTATAATTCACCTTATTTTATGGAGAAATCGCTTGTACAAGAAGATGGTTCAGTATCTTGTGATGAATCATTTTCACAACTTCATTCATTCCTTTCACCTTATGGATCATCAACATTGAGTAGTGCAGCCTTTCATGCCAGTTTAGATGGATTATGTGTTGGCGGGAAACAGAAACGTGGTGTACTGCCTAAACGTGCTACACAAATCATGAAACAATGGCTGTTTCAACATCTTGTAGTAAGTTGATCGACTTTGTTTTCTTATGATCTTACTTCACTTTAGATATATGATAATCATATGATTACAGACGAATAAACAACACCTAATATAGTGTACACATTGTTATTGAAAAGTGCATGCAAATGAAATTATTGTTGGTTTTCACGGGGGAATATTTTAGTGACTTCCGAAATTCAGTCCTTGTAATATCTTATCCATTGCTGAAATTCTCTCCGAACAGTTAGGTAACAAAACAATTTTGTATTTATATTAGACCAAGTGACCAATAGTTTGTGCTAAAACACAGTACTACAGCAGCTGAGGCAATTCGCATGAAACCATTGAACTATGTTTGACGTGATAGTGAGTCAACTAGTCAGTGTTACGTAATCGAAATAAGTCAGGCAACAGTTAGGGTGATTATTCATCAGTCGATTAACTAAGCGGGGAAGGTCTATCTGTGACACCAGCAGTTGTCAGCCTGAATGTATAAAGGGATATAAGCAATCTTCAAACTTCAGACACCTTGTTGATGAGTGCCGACAAGTACAACACCTAGGCCCCATGGCTCCTAGTCGGTTGTTTCCGATCAATTAACATCAACTTCGATTTCCAAGTATTGTAGTCAACTTCAAGACACTCACATTTCTTCCATAATAGGTTAGTTTTAAACCTAGTCAATCATATTTCAGTGAACGTTTATCATATGGAACTAGAAAACAGTTATTGGTCATTTTTCTGCATTTGTTTATTTGATAGTCTCTCACAGGTAAAAAAAATTGCTAAGGCTTAACAGAGAGTAATTCAACTGCCAAAAAAGTCCCAATTCGTTAAATGTGAAAGTTCTTCATACTCCAGGCTTTATGTCACTTAATCGCATAAACGATTGAATTATGTATTTTACCATGTGTAATTTCACAATTTTGTATCACCGTAATTATAAGAGTAAAGGTATGTAGTTTGTGGCGTAGTTGGACAAATTGTACGCACCTTCCTAATTTGAACCAAAGCCTGTTGGTGACTCAGTGGAGTACTGTTGGCCAGAGGAAGAGGTCAATAAACTGTTATTTCTGAAGAAATGTGAACACCGTGTCCGTTTTTCTCTTTTTTCTGTCTCATTTAGTAAACATAATTACCTCGACATCAGTATCTAAGTATATGATACCTAACTTCCAAGTTATGTGCCTGTCTTCTTCAGGTTAACAAATTTTGCAATCCGAGGTCATAAGTAACTGAAAACGCTTCATAATCAAGCCGGATGGTTCTACTGGTGTTCTACTACCTAGTTTACCAGAAATTGCAAAACGCCTTTTTAATTCCTCGATAAGTATCATATGTTTTACTTTCTCAGACTATGTTGGTCATCACTTATGATGAATATTGTTTTAAAATGAGGAATAGGTCAGGATGTTTGAATCGTAGTTGAGTGGCATCTTGGTAAAAAGTTAGTAAAACTTCATTACTTACTAATGGCCTATAAAATCCGAATATAGTAGTAGTATAAACCACTGAGAACTACGTCCAGTTAGAAATCAAGCAAGCTGGTTTTTAACAGCTGTGGAAGTGATTAATCTGCATTTTATGAATATGGATCCACGATAATGGTGGACTTCTTGAAGTTCTTATGAGAAATTGTTGCCTAGAGAGTTGGCCAGATGGAAAGTGGAGGTGAATATCTGAAGATAAAATTTACTGAAGGACGATACTACATAAAAAAGAAGTTGAAAAATGGTAACCTAACCTCTGATTAGTGACATGCTTGCCGTAAGATGTTTCTCCTAGTTTTCGCATCACCTGAGTTTGGAAGTGTGCTTCATTACAGAGTTTAAGAATAAAGTGGAAAGTCTGGCAAATTCTCCCAAGGCAAAATGGTTTTCAGTGTGAAATCGACACAACATGGAAAAAGATACCTTAAACTATATTGGGTAACTTTCTAGTTGAGTAGTAGGTAGAGAAAATTTTTAATTCCATAAGAGTTATTCCCTTGTTTTCTAACCCATTTCTACCTATTAAATCCTGTTGATCAGGCTTCGCTTTACACCAAATAAGTAGCGTTATGAAGACCGCAGTACATTGTATTTGATGGTTGAGGTGCATCATGAAACCTACAATCAGGGTTAAAGGCAATCTATTGACTACCTTTAGGCATCCATCAATCTTCACTTTGTATCTTAACAGTACTGGTATAAGTCTTTGCCTGAATGTCGTTTTGCATAGTAGAAATGTGGAACTAAAATCAAAACATACAATTGAAATATACATCAATCATTTTCAGTGTCCATTGTCCTTAATGTAGACCATGAACTGTCAATCAGTATATTGCTTATAAAAGGTCACTAAGCTGTTGTTGACTTGGTAATCGACTTTATGGAATATGCTGTTTGGTATTTTTTCTTAAAGGCTTTATTTATATTTAGCTTAATCGAGTAAAATCAGTGATCCATTTTGAAAAATAATGTATGGTGACTGATGTGTCATGGAAGACACTTGGTGTGTGTGTTAGAGAGTATATGTATCTGCCGGATTCCCTTGGAACATTGTCTAGCCCTTATTTTATTTATGCCCATTCTTGTCACATATCTGTTTAGTAATCCATACATATAAGGCTGTATTCACCAGGGACTGACATAAGCTGGAGAACCATTTAAAACCTGGGAGTGCTGAACAGGTGTTTCATCCTAGTATGAGACTCACCAGCAATCTTTAGTTCGGTCCCTGGCGAGGTCGTGTGCATCTTCTGCTGAGAGGTTGCATTTTAGACCGAAACAGCTGTCCAGCGCCAATAAATTTTCAGTGGTTCGCCAAATGACATCAGTCCGGGACGAATACAACTTTAATTGTGTATTCAGTATACAAAGAAGAGCAGAATGAGACTATCCTGTAGGCTGTTGTAACATTTCCGAATGAAAACATTACTCAATGAAGGAGATCTTCTGAATAGCATAGCTGCTGAACATCAAGTGAACACGGGATACTATGTTCAAATCTTGAAATTTTTGGAGATGATTTCTTGTTTATTTAAATCTGACTATTTTCACTGAAACTTACCATCGAGTATCTGAGTATGGTATATATGCTTGAAAGGAAGCTATTGCCAGCAATCTGTTATTAAGAAAACCTGGCTTCAAACTTCATATATGTGCTTTCGTTAGTTTAAAAGAAGTTACGTCTCCTATTTCCATAATAGAATTAATATTCACGAAGTTCAACTCACTGCATTTAGCACACTTTATTTCTAAACTTATCCATCTGTTAACTAACCCATAAAGTTATATTCTGCGTTCTGTCAATTTTAAAGAATTTTCAACGTTACCGTACATACTGATGACTGATATCTCGGTTTATCGTTTTAACATTGACTCGTTTGGATTATCTTTTTATTAACTAACTATATTTCCTTCTGTCTCACTTGATGAGTAGCTTCAAGTCAGTTATTTGTTAAATTATTGCTACTGTTTAGTATACTTAATTAAGCATCTTTAACCGTAAACTAGACCACAAAGGCAGAGTTGTTCAGTCTTATTGAATTTTGAAACAAGTGAAATCAAATCAAAAGTACATCTCTAATATGTCACTTTATTTAAAATGTTTCGTGAAATGCTAAATATTCAGCATACTTAGCAATGATCAACAATATACGCAAACGAATGTGACTGTTACATTTTATAATTTCCCATCTAACCTAATCTGCAGGATACAATTACTCCCACTTTTAGTGTATTCCATTGCCAGTACTCCAAACGCCATATCTTTCATTACCTCTCAGACAGTTGAAACATTCCTGTTTTTGGTGTTGTTAGCTTCAGTTGGCAAAATGAAAAAGAAATTATGTAGCACGTGGATTAGGCATACACCGAGAAGGCCGACTGGGGACATCACGCACCAGATCAGGCCAGGGGCTCGAGTGGAACCCAATTAGGAAACGATGAGTTGAGCGTCCGAGGTGAGAGTGACATGGAGGAGATTGTGCGAGGAGGAAATGAGAGCTTGTGGGCTGTCATGAAGCCAGGTTGAAAAGATTTCAGAGAACAGAGTGCAGTGGAGATGTGCTACTGAAGCCGTATGTTCCATTAGGAACCCAAGGACAAATAATAATAATAAATCCTACAGAAGTAATTTAACACAGGTTGAGCAATTCAACTCAATATAGCAACTGGAAATGACAAGTATCGATAAGTAACAACTGATACCCATTAAACAAGAGGTGGCTGTAGTGTTCCAATGGTCTAATCACCAACACTTTGGCGTTCGAAGCTATAGGTACTTGTTTTGAGTTTCAGTTGGAACAATATCAGTCACTGGGGTGCATGGACATCTAGCTGAAGAGTCTTAAATAGGATGAAACGCGTGTCCTGGGATTCACTTGTAGCCATCAATAAGATTAAAACATAGAAGTAGACCCGTTTGGTCGAATAACGCGAAATAATTATGCTATCTGGTGATATGGTCTTCATTTAACTTTATAGGTGAAGTCAGAACCTCATCGTTTATGCCCAAAATGATCACTGTTAGGTGGTTCCTAAACATTGTTATTGAATCATTAGCATTTCATCACTGAAGATGGTGATTTCAAAGCTTGTAGTATACTACTCCTTTGTTTTTGAATTTTCTTTTGATAAAACTCCAAATGGAATTCCGTAATCATGTATATGTTCAAACAATAATAATAATAATGACAATGAACCACCATAATTAAAAAAGTAAAATTTAGCTCTTCGTTTATGTGTTCTCTCTATGTGGTTTTTACGAAAAAGAAGAAAACTTTTATTACAGAAAAATCATATGATGTGAAACAAAAATCTTAGTAGGACTATTCCCTCTACTGTTTTCACCATTATTTACATTAACTTGATGCTAATTTCTCTCATAGTTATTACCTTCTTATTACGCGTAACAGTGTGAATACTGGAATCTACTTGCTTATCTATGTGTGTATATCTCTATAGAAGTAAAGGCTACTTATTATAACGACATACTTGCCTATCTTCATAGCTAAGAAATCTTTATACATGATCGTA